GCGGGTTTTACTCCCTTTACCTTCCCAGAACTCCTAACTCAACTATGCCCAGATAATCTACTAAAGAACTTCATTCGTTGGCCGAAGCCGGCTCACGGAGATGCAATGCGGTTTGTGAGGTCTCTTGGCCAGTCCCCGTTTGCGGGGGAGCTCGTCTACTGAGATTCATTCCACTGCACCTGACTCTTTAAACTCAAACATCTTCAATATCCACATCTTAATCAACAGACTAAGCAGCAGGTAAGGGGCGAGCACAAGATAGGTTGAAATGTGTTTTTTTCATCTTCATTCGAAAAGGCGAGAGAGAGAGAGAGAGAGAGAGAGTAACTAGGTCGAAGAGCAAGAATGAGACTGAATTGACACTCGCGTACACCTCTTAAAGTAAGCGACTTCTGTTGAAGTTCCAATAAGGTAGTAGTAAATCCGATGTAGCTAATCCGACTGGCATTAGTAGACGAATACAAATGAATAGATTAGCCCTCCCGGGTGTAATAAGAACCACATTAACAGTTGGAACTTCCTCAGCTTCTACAGCAACTACTACGGGTACAGAAACTACTAGAGCAACAGTAGCAGCAATAACATCTTTAAAAAATAGCTACATTAGCTATAAATAGAGGTATGGGAAAGAGAAAGTAGAGAATGATGTCTCTTCCAGTGTTGTACTTTATTAGGGCGCCGCCCTGTGGGTGCGCCGGTGATCTTTTCCTTCTTCTTTGGGGGGTGTTGGGGGGTTGATCTTCTTTTTTTTCTTTTCGCGAGGTTAGCAATTCGTAAGAGCTCATGGGTGTGAAGTTCCCCAGAACATAAGACTATCTTTCTATTTTTCTCACACAACGAACCTGCTTTCTCCCTTGCCTTGCTCAATTTGAGTTTTCCAATTGAAAGTAGCAAGCCACTCCACTACTGGCTATCCGGAACGAGTATAACGGTATATGAGCTAACACCAATGGGGGATAAGCCTGCATTAGCTAAAGCTATGATAAGGGTTTCGCCAGTTGAGGAAAGAAGAACTGAACTAGCATAAAAGTCTTCCAACTCCCTAGTCGTTACCCCTCTCTATTACTATGTTCGAGTACTCAGTGCCTAGTAAATGGAGCCGTGAACTAGCTGCTGCTTGTGAGGTATGGAAAGAGATTCGCTTTGACTTGAAACCAGTGTGGATCCAAATGAGAAAAAAGAAAGAGATAATAAGGAGGCTCCTGTAGGAGATAAATGGAGATAACTGATTCGGAGATAAGGGATAGGTCTCTTTACAGTTTTAGCGGAATAAGCAGTCTTGGTGCTTTGGGCGCGACATTAGTCTGACTGTGCTTTCCTAGCCAAAGGCTATTCAGGATCTTATTTTGCCAGGAATAGGGCCTCCAACAGACAGAGTGATGCTTCTATCTTATTATGAGTCTATTATTTTTTTTAATTGTTTGGCCTAATGTCGAATCAGGATCAACTAGGACAGAAATAAAGCATTGGGTCGAACTCTTCTTTGGTGTCAAGTTCATTGCTATGAATAGTAATAGAATCCCGGGAAAGGGTACTAACCTTAGAACCGAAAACCCCAACTAGAGATGGAATTCCAGAACCTAAACAACTCAGTTGAGAGCTCCGTGACCGTTCAAGGGAAGGTCCACCAATGATTGATAGGCCATTCCCCCTTATCCGTCTCTTGATCCCTCATTCCACTAATTCGTTGTTACTGATTCATTCAAGGTTTTTTTAAACACACTTCTTTGTCTTATTAGCGCAGGTGTTCGTCAACAATGAAAGCCGCTTATTTATTATTATATTATTATTATATTATTAGGAAAAAATATATTCTTGGGCCGGGGCCGAGCGGCCCCAAACCCTTCCCCACTTTAATTCTCCCCAGCAAAGCCACCAAAAATCAAATTCCCCCAGCAGCCGGCCCCTCCCCTCCTCATATTTCCCCGCCGCCTTTGTCAATTAATCGTCCCGGGGAATTAAACCCGCCAAGCAGCAGCGCTGCGAACGAGAAGGAAAGGAAGGAGCGTGCCTCGATCCCGATCCCGACCCCGGCCCCATCCCTTTCGTTCTAGGTAAGGATCACGAACCCCTTCGCAATTTCTAAACTGGATTCGTCGTTAGACTAATTCGAAGCTCGGATTTTTATTAGCGATGACGTTGAGGGTTCGATTAGCAAGGAGATCAACGTCCCGGGTCATCCAACCTAGGCCTAGGCACGTTCTAGAGCTAAGGGAACTCGATCCCTTTGAGTTAGATCGATTTGGTGATTTTTCGTGAGGGAGCAATTCTGGGTTTTAGCAACAGGCGTTACAGGCTTTTAGTGATAGATTTTGGGTGGTCACTAAAGTTGCTGGGAATTTCCAGAAACGTATTCTTGGACGTTTTAATTGTTTCGAGTCCCTGTTGGTGTTTGTTCCTGGGTTTAATAATTTTAATTGTTTCGAAATTATTCTAACATTCATTTTAATTAAATAAAAACATTTCCGAGGAGTTTATAAGGGTTTGATAATTTTCTAGGGTATAAGTACTCATGATTGATGTAGGAAAATTATTATCCAAATTTTTAAGAAGGTTCAAGTTAGGTGGAAAATTCGTCCAAGACTGTAATAATTAAGAAAATTGGTCGTTTTTGAAGGGATTAATTCTAGAAAATTTTAATGGGGTCAATTGACCCTTGGAATGAGGTTCAAAGTCTGGAGTTTGAGGAGAGGATGTTCTAGTGATTCAAAAGGGGTTTTAAATCCAGAAAGGTCGTCTAAGAAATGGATTCTTATTAAAGGTTCCCCCAAGATAATCCGGCTAGGGAGGGGTTTCTTCGAGGAAGGAATTGAGGATTCATATTTTCGAGGTGAGTGTAAAGGGGGTAAAATCTGTGTCGAGGTCTTTTAGTTATGCCTTTTATTTCAGTTATGTTTGTTATTTTCAAGTAAGCGCGACATGTTGTGTGAGGCATCCCATCGCCTGTAGTGGTGGAGGCACGCGTTGTGCTATGTATGAATGTATGGATGTATGATTGTAATAGTTGGTTAATGGTAAGAGGAACCCCCGGGCGGTTGGGCCACTACTGGACGCGGTAGATGACCGGGTCACTGCTGGACCGCGAGACGTAATGTAGTAGTTGACAGGCATGGACTGGACGGCGAGACGTAACGCAATGCCATTGCCGAGATTGGGTATGCAACCGGACGGCAAGATGTAACGCGGTTGGCATACTAGGGTAGGACACCGAACGACGAGACGTAACGCGGTGGTCCTAGTGTTTTGTGTTTGAGTTAAGGATAGAAGGCAAGCACTCTTAGGAGTTAATGTTGAAATGAGTTGATTAGAATGGTTATTTAAGAGCAGAAAGCGAGAACGGCTTTCATGCTAGGAAGGCATTCCCCTAATAACGTGTTTAGTAAGGAGTTGGCCTAGGGCAAAGACCTTAGGGAGTAACGACGAGTGATAAGCCGTTAATTGCACATGTTTTTTACCCCTATTCGGGAGCCGTTTGAGGCGTTGATTCTCGTGTTTTAGGCTGATTTCACACTAGGTTGTGTTTGTTTGTGATATTTCAGGTCCTAGCAAGTGAATGAAGGTTTAGGAGCGAGTTCGGGGTCGATTGGAAAAGATCGGGCGCGAGGCAAGTCACAAAGGAAGCCACACGGGCACACCCACAACCCACACGGCCGTGCAAGTGACCAGTTTGGCTTTGTGGGATTGTGAGAGCCTTCACACGGCTAGCCCTGATATTCACACGGCCGTGTGAAGTTGCACTTTGGCCGTGTGGAATTCTGCGAGGCTTCACATGGCCAGGCTGGGTGAGCTACACGGTCGTGTGACCCTAGCAGTGTAAGAAGCCTGAAATCCAATTATTCGGAACGCGGCATTTCGACCTCACACGGGCGACTGGGTATGCCACACGGCCGTGTTGCCCTGCCCGTGTGAGTCGGGAATTTCCTGTTTTTACCCAATTTCGGGATGCAAGTGAGGGAATCGAGTTTTCAGAGCAAAAATAGAGCCCTAGAGAGAGAAAGTATGAAGAACACATCCTAGAAGCTATCTTGGAGCTGGGTTTCATCAAATCAAGCTTGGAGATCGTCATAGGAGTGGAAATCATCAACCCAGAGCAGATTTTCCTCATCTTTATGAGTATGAATACTTTGGTATTCTGTTTTCCTCTCTCTCTCTCTATGGAGTAGAACCCTTCTCTCACTTGGGTATGAAGAACCCTAGTTCTATGTGTTAGGGATTTGATTGTAATGACTTGGGATGATATTACAGCTTTGTTTTAATCGAATGATGCATGTTTATTGAGTCAATTGAAGTCTGATCAGCTTTTCCTGATTTCTACTGCAACCTGAGATAGATAGAATCTGATTAGGTTGTTAGAGCCTCATCATTCGGTAGTAGGAGATTGTGACTCGACTCTACTGTCACTCCAGGAATTGGCCAAGTGAAACCACTTCCTAAAGCGTAGTATAGCGGGTTTGGGTTTAATTATCAACCCGGGTCCTAGATATGATGAATACTCAGTGAATTCGTGTTATCTAGCAATGAAACTGGGATGCAAGTCTAAACTATCAAACTAACAAAGCAAGTAAACTGTTGTATTCAGGTTAAAGAGGTCACCCGGATATGGTTCCCCCTAGACTGTAGTTAAGCCGGATTGTAATTACCAAGTTCAGTTTCTATGACAGTTATACTGCGGAAGGTTCTCAAACAGCATGAAGTCTCGACTAAAGGTCTTCAGACCCTCTCAATCTGACTCTCTAGCGGGCGACTAACCTCCACCGGAGTCGACAGATTGAGGCCCTAAGAACAAAACCTCCACTACCGGAGTAAATCCGGTACAGAATAGTGAGTTGGCTCCTCGACTAAAGTCACCAACTCCCTACCTTCAATCAAGGATACTCTATTAACCTAGGCAGATATTCTCATTCTAGGTCAAAGCAGAAACAACAGGAATTTGATCAGGATTCAAGTCATTCAATCATTAAAACCTCAATCAGGCCGAACATGTTTTCAAGGTGTTGATACGTCAGGGCTAAAAGGGCATGGACCTGGAGAACTAGGCTCACAACAAGCCTTGGAGAAGAAGGGGACCACCCTCGAGTTAAGAGCGGTAAAAGATGAGAAGCTGATAGACCGTTAATTACACATGTTTTCACCCCTGTTCTTACACCGTTTGAGATGTGGTTTCTCGTGTTTTAGACCGATTTCACGCTAGGTTGTGCTTGTTTGTGATATTTCAGGTCCTGGCAAGTGAATGAAGGTTTAGGAGCGAGTTCGGGGTCGATTGGGCGAAGATCGGGCGCGAGGCAAGTCACAAAGGAAGCCACACGGGCACACCCACAACCCACACGGCCGTGCAAGTGACCCGTTTGGCCGTGTGGGATTGTGCGAGACCTCACACGGGCACAGATAATTTCCACACGGCCGTGTGAAGTTGCACTTTGGCCGTGTGGAATTGTGCGAGGCTTCACCCGGCCAAGCTGGGTGAGCTACACGGCCGTGTGACCCTGGCCGTGTAAGAAGCCTGGAATTCAACTAATCGATACGCAGCGTTTGGAGCCACACGGGCAACTGGGTGGGCCACACGGCCGTGTGGCATGCCCGTGTGAGTCGGGATTTTCTGGTTTTAAGCCAATTTCCAGCCACAAATCGAGGGGATTCGAGTTTTAGAGAGACAGAGCGATTCCTAGAGAGAGAAAGCGACGAACAAGAGTCCCCAAGTGCCCTAGCTTGATCTTCATCACCATTGAAGCTTGGCTTGAGCTTGGAGGAGTGCCAATCAACGTCCAGGAGCAGGAATCCATCCTTCACAGTATGAATTCCGCGTCTGATTCTGCTTTTGCTTCTTTCTCCATGGAGTAGTTCTCCCATTCATCTGGGTATGGAGAACCCTAGATTTGTATGTTAGGTTTGATTGTATGAACCCAAGTATTGATTCTATGATTTGATTATATTCAATTGAGGTTTGAATGATTGAATGGCATGAATCCTGATCAAATTCCTATTGATTCTTCTTTAACCTAGAATGAGAATATCTGCCTAGGTTGATAGAGCATCCTTGATTGAAGGTAGGGAGTTGGTGACTTTAGTCGAGGAGCCAACTCACTATTCTGTACCGAATTCACTTCGGTAGTGGAGGTTTTGTTGTTAGGGCCTCAATCTGTTTACTCCGGTGGAGGTTAGTCGCCCGCTAGAGACTCAAATTGAGAGGGTCTGAAGTCCTTTAGTCGAGACTTCAGGCTGTTTAAGAACCTTCCGCAGTATAACTATCATAGAAGCTGAACTTGGTAATTGCAATCAGGCTTAACTGCAGTCTAGGGGGAACCATATCCGGGTGACCTCTCTTAACCTGAATACAAAAGGTTACTTGCTTTGTTTGTTTATTAGTTTAGACTTGCATTAAAGTTTCATTGCTAGATAACAGGAATTCACCGAGTAGTCATCAAATCTAGGACCTGGGTTGACATTTAAACCCAAACCCGCTATACTACGCTTTAGGAAGTGGTTTCACTTTGCCAATTCCTGGAGTGACAGTAGAAGTGAGTCAAGTTTTTGGCGCCGTTGCCGGGGGCGGCTAGGTTGTTGAAGAAAAGTGATTTCTGTTAATTTAGCTTTTCTTTTCGCATTGTTTGCTTTTTCCCACTTGTGCCTTCACGGTTTTGCTTGCTTGAGTGTGTGCAGGTAGTGCATGACCCGTAGCCAGTCGGGAGGTTTACTGCCGTTGAATCCAGAGATTGACCGCACCTGTCGCCAACTCAGGAGACAACAGCCAGCTAGACTGGCTACGGAAGAGCGCATAGACGGCCACCTGAGCAGCGATTCTGAGGAAGAGTACGGGATGGACAAAGAATACAATCCACACCAGGGGAATCCTCAGCAGGCTCCCCCAGGGAATCAGGTCCTGGGGAACAACCCCATACCCCAGGATCATGGGGCTCATCATCATCCACCGCCGCTGGGTCCCACCGTGGAGTACTACTACACTCCACGGATTGCTGACATCCACCCGGTCATCCTCTACCCGCCTATTCCAGCAAACAACTTCGAGATCAAGCCATGCTGGATTCAGCTCATTACATCCTCTATCCAGTTCCATGGCTTGAAGGATGAGGAGGCCAGGGTGCTTCTTTCCCGTTTTTTGCAGCTGACGAACGGGTTCAAGCTTAATGGTGTCCCTGATGATGCAATCCGCCTTCACCTTTTCCCTCATTCTCTGGCGGGGAATGCTAAGAGGTGGTTGGAGACCCAGCCCCCATTGTCCATCACCTCTTGGGACGATCTGGCTGACAAATTCGTGCACAGGTACTATCCGGCATCGAAGACTACAGAGATCCAGCGGGAGATCACTCACTTCCGCCAAGAGCCAGATGAGTCACTTCGTGATGCCTGGGAGCGGTACATGGGATATTTCTGGCAGTGTCCCCATCATGGCTTCAGTGATGCATTCACAGTGGGGAACTTCTACAGTGCCCTCTCTCCAGACAGCCAGAGTGTGATTGAGTCTCTATGCCTAGGAGGGGATATTCTTTCTAAGACTCCACCCGAGCTGAACCAGATGATCAATACTTTGGCTGCCAGAGATCATTCTTAGGGACAGAGCAGCAGAGGCAGACATTCCCGAGACCGTGGTGTGCACGCCATGGAGACCAGATCCGGGCTCGAGCAACAGGTAGCTGAGTTGGTGCAGACATTGAAGCAGCCCAACAGTCTTATTTCGGGCAGAGGTTTGGCTACACCTCCAGTAGCTCAGTGTCAGTGGTGTGAGAGCTCAAATCACCTAGTGGAGGACTGCCAGGATATGAGGGAGTCTACTACTCCCCAAGAGCAGTTGGACTTCATCGCCAATGCTCGGCGCCTCGACCCGTACAGCAACACATATAATGAGGGGTGGCGCTAGCATCCCAATTTCGCCTGTAGCGGCAACACCACTAAACCACCTGGTTTCCCAGCAGGTGGTTTTCAGCAGAGGCAGCCCTTCCAGGCTCAACAGGGGACAGCCCCACAGCAACAGCCCTACCAGCCTAGGCAGGGGCAACCATTCCAGCAGCCCCAACGCAGTTTGTCGAGCCAGCAGCAGCTCCAGCCCCAGATGACCGGATGAAAAAGCTGGAAAATATTCTAGCTTCATTCATGACTAGCACTCAGGCAACTATCACGAGGTTGGACCAGAGCGTAGCCTCACTGGAGGCAGGTCAGAGGAACCAAGGTGCCATCTTGCAAGATCTGCAGCACCAGGTGGGTATCTTGGCCCGCCAAAACACTACCAGGGCACCGGGGACTCTGCCTGCCACCACTATTCCGAATCCTCGTGATCCTCACCAGCATCAGCAGCTGGATGCCATTTTCACCATGAGCGGTAAGACCATATTTGCTGATCCTGTCCCGGCCAGGCAGGAGGAACCATTACCTGCTTTAGCACTTCCAGCCGACGATGCAGAGGTGCGGGTGGAGAAGGAAGCCCCTGCTCCCAAGCCACAGCCAGTGGTTAAGGAGCATGTACCCCAGCTTCCTTTCCCCACTCGCCTACAAAAGACAAGCTGGAGACTGAGTTTGCCAATTTTATGGCAATGTTGAAGCAGCTCAACATCAGCATACCGTTTGTGGAGGCACTGTCGAAGATGCCCAAGTACGCGAAGTTCATGAAAGATCTCCTCACCAACAAGAAGAAACTTGGGGATCTCTCGACAGTGTTGCTAAGCGAGGAGTGTTCTGCTATCCTGCAGAACAAGCTGCCCGAAAAGCGCAAGGATCCAGGGAGTTTTACTATCCCTCTTACTATTGGCAGCATGCATGTAGGCAAGTCCTTGGCGGACCTAGGCACTAGCATTAATGTCATGCCATATAAGTTGTATAAAAAGCTAGACCTAGGTGAACTTAGCCCTACTAGGATGAGTATTCAGCTAGCTGATCGTTCCATTGTGCATCCTAGGGGGATCATAGAGGATCTGCTTGTTAATGTAGGTGCATTCACATATCCTGTTGATTTTGTTATTCTTGCTATACATGAGGATGTGGATGTGCCTTTGATTCTGGGTAGACCATTTCCACCGCCAAGGCACTTATTGATGTGCATGATGGTAAACTGATCCTGCGTGCTGGGAATGAACAGGCTACTTTTTCTGTGACTGAATTCGATCACTGTGCTATGATTGCTGTCCCACCTGTGCATGCCATTTCTGATCAAGTACACGAGTCTGTCGTGTATCCTTCTGCACCTCTTATTTTGAAGGACCCTCCGATCATTCCTTCGCCGCCACTCCATCCAGTCTCGCCTCCGAACAAAAAGATCAAGGAGGAATGGCGGCCGAAGCAGCAGGTTGCTAAGCCTGCACAGAAGAAGGGTGGAGCCCACTATGAGCTGGTCCCACCTTCTGCACTGCGACCACCCTGGCCGTCCGGGTACTCACTCGCCTGCATCTTACCAGATGGCCAGGTCGAGCTGACCGATGATGGTGGTCGCATCCGTCGGGTGCATGGCCACAACTTGAAGCTGTACCTCAAGAGCGATGTGGATCCGCTCTTGGAGGCACCTGTCCCTCCACCTCCCTGAGTATCCACCATGGGCGTCCAGCTAAAAGACGGTAAAGAAGCGCTTGTGGGGAGGCAACCCCACCACGGTTTGACTTTCTTTCTTGTGTTATGAGTCGGATTGTAAACCGGTTTGGTTTTGGTTTGTTTTCTTTTGTTTTGGATGATGTATTATTGGGCTGACCATTGGACCTAACATATTGTGTTTGAGCTCTTTGGTTTCCTTTAGCTGTGCTTGTCTTGACTGGTCCTCTCTCCAGTCCGCTTCACTCCGACTGGTCCGCTTCCAGTCTCCTGCAGTCCGTGCATACCGGTAACATCGTTCCCCTTTCCCTTCCCTCTTCTCCATTGAGGGCAATGTCGATCTTAAGTGTGGGGGGTGTTTATCTTTGACTGCATTAGATCTGTTTGTGTGCTTGGAGCCTAGTCCACTGTCCAAATCTCGAGATTTGAGGGCTCCAAGCACGGCTGTTTGCTTGATGTTTGATCGTATTGGCACTGTGGATGTGATTAGTGAATTGAATGGCTTTTGACTTGATACATGAATACTTGAGTGTGACTTAGACAACTTACTGTGATGACTGAGATGTGCAGTAGAATTGTGTAGGGGTTCAGTTTTTCAACTGTTTACTTACCAAATGTGACTTGGATTGATCACTTGTTCTTGACAATCGTTTACGCATCTAGGTCAGGGAATCAGAATGTGAGATAGAGCATATAGGTAGCCATGTGAGATTTGAGCCTGCTCGTTTCTTTCCTGTGCGATAGATCCCTCTTCCATGATGTGTAGCATTCACGTTGTCACTAGCTAAGATAATGGGGGCATAGGATTAGCCCACGACCAAATTGACTGTCCTGATGTGTCATATCCCCTAGTTAGCCCCTTTGAGCCGTGTGTTGTCCCTTCTTTTGGTCTATAATGAAAAATCACCCTTTTGCATCTTTTAGAAGGTTCCACAGAGTGGTTTTTACATGTTCTCTGCTGTTTCTGCTAAACTTAATGTGAGTGTTGGAGGTAGTGCTTAAAAGTTGGGCATGTGTTTGAAATATGTGCAGAAGTGGTGGCTCTCTTAAGAAATGAAAAGAAAATGAAAGCAAAAGAGAGCCACTACCAAAAATCTGAATAAAGCCTAGTAAGTAGTGTTTCCTAGCAGTCTGGCTTGGAAATGCTGACATTTATACCGCCTTCGCTCTTGTGCTCTTGAGATATTGAGTAATGCAGAATAGCAGAAAGGAAATACTGGTTTGCTTGATTGTGATTGTGTGGGTTTGGAAATGTGGAACCTTGTGCTATGGATACTTCCACCACCTAAAAGGCCTTTTCCCCATGTCCAAGACCCTAGCCAGTCACTTGAACCTGTGTCTAAGACCTCCTGATTAGTTAGTGGTGACACCCCATATGTGAACTCTAGCATTTAGAGGCTGCCATCATGGTGAAGAGATGTTAGGGATTGAGAGAAATAGCATGCGCATTTTTCGCATCAAATTTTCCTGACCCCACTGGTCGAGAGTGAGTGATTCATTTTCATATTCTGTATACTCTTGTACCCCGGTGAGGACCTAGATTGCTCGGTCTCTATTCTGATGTCTTGATTTGGATGCATGAGGTGACTGTTTTGAGTAAGTGGTTGAGTCAAGTCTAGGTTGGTTGGTGGACAGAAGGGAGACTCTTCCTTTACTCGATTTTGCTGCACTCGAATGTCCTTTGTGGTGGTTGTTCAGGTTGCTATTGAAGTTATTCATGTGTTGATGTTTGAAAACCAGTACGATTCACGAGTTCTGTGCCTTTATGACTTGTCCCCAATGTTGGTTGATTGAAATATGTGAGCTTACCTTGTGTCTGACTTGGTTTGCTTGGGGACAAGCAAACGGTTAAGTGTGGGGGAGTTTGATAGACCGTTAATTACACATGTTTTCACCCCTGTTCTTACACCGTTTGAGATGTGGTTTCTCGTGTTTTAGACCGATTTCACGCTAGGTTGTGCTTGTTTGTGATATTTCAGGTCCTGGCAAGTGAATGAAGGTTTAGGAGCGAGTTCGGGGTCGATTGGGCGAAGATCGGGAGCGAGGCAAGTCACAAAGGAAGCCACACGGGCACACCCACAACCCACACGGCCGTGCAAGTGACCAGTTTGGTCGTGTGGGATTGTGCGAGACCTCACACGGGCACAGCTAATTTCCACACGGGCCGTGTGGAATTGTGCGAGGCTTCACACGGCCAGGCTGGGTGAGCTACACGGCCGTGTGACCCTGGCCGTGTAAGAAGCCTGGAATTCAACTAATCGATATGCAGCGTTTGGAGCCACACGGGCAACTGGGTGGGCTACACGGCCGTGTGGCCTACCCGTGTGAGTCGGGATTTTCTGGTTTTAAGCAATTTTCCAGCCACAAGTCGAGGGGATTCGAGTTTTAGAGAGACAGAGCGATTCCTAGAGAGAGAAAGCGACGAACAAGAGTCCCCAAGTGCCATAGCTTGATCTTCATCACCATTGAAGCTTTGCTTGAGCTTGGAAGAGTGCCAATCAACGTCCTGGAGCAGGAATCCATCCTTCACATTATGAATTCCGCGTCTGATTCTGCTTTTGCTTCTTTCTCCATGGAGTAGTTCTCCAATTCATCTGGGTATGGAGAACCCTAGATTTATATGTTAGGTTTGAGTGTATGAACCCAAGTATTGATTCTATGATTTGATTATATTCAATTGAGGTTTGAATGATTGAATGGCATGAATCCTGATCAAATTCCTGTTGTTTCTACTTTAACCTAGAATGAGAATATCTGCCTAGGTTGATAGAGCATCCTTGATTGAAGGTAGGGAGTTGGTGACTTTAGTCGAGGAGCCAACTCACTATTCTGTACCGAATTCACTTCGGTAGTGGAGGTTTTGTTGTTAGGGCCTCAATCTGTTTACTCCGGTGGAGGTTAGTCGCCCGCTAGAGACTCAGATTGAGAGGGTCTGAAGACCTTTAGTCGAGACTTCAGGCTGTTTAAGAACCTTCCGCAGTATAACTATCATAGAAACTGAACTTGGTAATTGCAATCCGGCTTAACTGCAGTCTAGGGGGAACCATATCCGGGTGACCTCTCTTAACCTGAATACAACAGTTTACTTGCTTGGTTTGTTTATTAGTTTAGACTTGCATTAAAGTTTCATTGCTAGATAACAGGAATTCACTGAGTAGTCATCAAATCTAGGACCCGGGTTGACATTTAAACCCAAACCCGCTATACTACGCTTTAGGAAGTGGTTTCACTTGGCCAATTCCTGGAGTGACAGTAGAAGTGAGTCAGAAGCCATGATGAACAAATTTTGAGGTCAAAATTTTTCTTAAGGGGGGAGGAAATGTGATGCCTCGACTTCGATTTAAGGTCCAACAATGAGTACAGAACGAGCTGAATCAATAAATTGAGTCAATCACGCCCTAGGCCCAAACTAGGGAATTTAAAAGGATAAGTAGCCACTCAAAGCTACTCGATACTAACAAGCTTGGGAGAATACCTTTTATGGTCAAGAGGAAAAATAAGAAGTGAGGTAGACAATACGAGACAAGTAGCGGAGAACATTGAAGTTCATATAGCGAGAATAAAATTATTGAATCAAGGAAGCACAAGGATGTTGTGGACATAGATATGAGTTTCGAGCAATCGGGGACGAAATTTTTATAAGGGTGGAGGAATTGTAACACCCCGATATTTAGGTCTAGGTTCGACCGAACGGTTGGATCGACTGTTACGTATGAAGAATTGCAACAGTGAACTAGAAAATAACAATAATAATTGTTATCATTATTGTTATTAATAATCACCACCACCATTTATTTGCTCCCATTTTCCACCCGCATCAGTAACTAAAAGAAGGTAAGGAAATAATAAATAAATAAATAATGGGAGACGAGAAGGAGAAGTTGGGCTTAAGCCCAAAAGCTGGCCTATTGACCCGGTAGCAGAAATAAAGAGAGAGTGGGCTTGAGGCCCAGGTGCAAGGAAGAGGAGGGGTCTTACGTCTCTGGGGAAACCGGTCGGGAACGAGAAGAAGGCTGGAAAACAGAGCAGCAAAGGCGAGACACAGATAGTCTTGTGAGACGGTCGAAATCACAAAATAACTGACAATTTATGAAGGGGATCAATTGGAATTTATTTGGGGTTTTAATTGAAGATTAAGAGGTGTTTATAGAAATCGAGTGGAATGGTTTCTTTCTCAGTTAAACTAGGGAAAGACAAAGAAAGAGAGACGAAAGGGGAGAGATCGGCGACACTGATTTGGAACACCAATGAAGAGGACGACTCGATCCCTGAGGAGAGGAGGAACGGGATGACCAATGGACGCGAGAGGGAGCCCGGGAATGCGACGGCGGTGAAGGATTCCGACGTTGACTCTGATATCCGTGTCAATCCCGACGTTGCCAGTTGGAATAATGAAGCAAGGGAAATGCCTAACCTCCAAAGCGACGGGGTGTTTTGGCCGTTCGCCACTGGCCTCCAATGTGTGGGCCGAGAAAAGGAAAGGGAATTCGCGTCGGTGCCGGAGGACTTCGCGCAAATCCGACCGCAGGGTGCTGCTGCGCGAGGAAGAAGAAGATGACAAGCCGGAGGAGGAGCCGGAGCCGGAACTCGATGGTAGCCGGGATTTGGAGGTCGATGACGACGGCGGGGTTTAGGTAACGATCTCCCGTTTGTTGGAGTTCAATTGTATGGTTTTAAAATTTTGATAAATAGCCAGGTGCGTATATGTCTTTTTGGAGTTGGGGCGATTTGGTAAAATTTAGGAAAGTTTAGGCGTCGTAAAGTAATTGACCGGGCTTGGGGTGAGTTCGCAAATAGTAAATGTTTGGGTATCGAATTGAAAATAAGCCTTTTGGACTGAAATGTTTAAATCAGAAAGTGAAAATTGGCCTAGAGGACTGAATTGTGCAATTCTGGAAGTTGGGGCCTAATTGGTAAAAGTCAAGAATCTTGGGTACCAGTGTGTAATTTGCCATTTTGGGGCAAAAAGGTAATTTTCTAGAATTTTGTGTGGATACATGGGAAAGGTTAAATGAAGGTGTTTGGAATTTGAATCAACCAAATTGGAGGTCGTTTGATTTGTTATGCTTGGAGAGAAGCGAATTAATTTTGCCTAAATACGTTATAGGAGGAAATGCGAAAGGAGGGGAAACACAAGGAAGTTGATCGTGCAATCTCGGAAAATGATGTCGATCAACTGACAATTAAGAAGAGTTGTCTTTTCGAGGTGAGTGTAAAGGGGGTAAATCTCAGTCGTAGGTCTTTTTGTTTATTCTTTTACTTTCAGTTATGTTCGTTAATTTTCAAGTAAGTGTGATTATGTGTTTGAGGCACGCGTTGTGCTTGTGTTTGTGTATGTGTGAATGTGTTTGTGATGTATGAATGATAGTAATGGAACCCCCGGGCGGTTGGACCACTATAGGACGCAGTAGATGGTCGAATCACTGCTGGACGGCGAGACGTAACGTAATAGTTGATCGAGTATGTTGGGGTCACTACTGGACGGCGAGACGTAACGCAGTAGTTGACCGGGCATGGACTGGATGGCGAGACGTAACGCGGTTGGCATTCTAGGATAGGACACTGGAAGGCGTGATGTAACGCGGTTGGCATACTAGGATAGGACACTGGACGGCGAGACGTAACACGGTGGTCCTAGTGTTTTGTGTTTGGGTTAATGATAGAAGTCGAGAACTTCTATGAGTTAAAGTTGAAATGAGTTACTAAGGATGAAAGCGAGAACGACTTTCATCTAAGGAAAGGAAACACTAATAACGTGTTTTAGTAAGGAGTTTGCATAGGGCAAAGACCTTAGGAAGTAACGACGAGACTGACCCCTTCTCATTCACCAGGTTGGGGAAGGGTTAGCGGATGAGGAATTTGAGAAGAGGCAAGACGAGGCGAGAAGCCGCAACAACATTGATGAGAAGTCAGGGAGCTGTGAGGAGTCAGAGCTAGAATAGTTAATTACTTTGTTGCATGGTTAGAAGTATAAACTGGAGATTCTGTGTTAAGTTGTTTTATTTGTTCCAGATTGAGATTTTGCCCAACTGTTAGGGCATTTTCGTTTGACATACTTAATTAATGTCAGTTTTTTTTTAACTTGGTTTGGGTTGCCCCGGAGTAACCGGTCTTTGGTTTGAGTTATGGTTTGGTTTTTGAAAAGAGTCGGGTTGTTTCAGTCCTTTCGCCCCACTTCTCTACTTGTAACCCTGAACTTGTTTTGTTTTTGTTTTTGTTATTTGTGTGTGTGTGTGTGTGTGTGACATAAACTAGTACTACGTATTGTGCTTGTAATAATCTCGCCTTGAGCGAGTCGTATTGTGTTTGTGTGTGTGTTTTTTCTCTCCTTGAACCTCAAATTATCCTACCCCGGTTCGATTCCTACCTTCACTCACCAAGCCCAAGCGGTAACATCATTCTACCCCTTTCTTACGCCATTGAGCGTAATGCCGAGTTTAAGTATGGGGGGGGGGGGGTGATTTACTAGTATGCTTGTGTGAGTGTGATGATGTTTGGAGACTTTTGTATGCACAAATTTCAAAAATTTGAGGGCTCCAAGCAATGTTTGCATGATCAAAGTGGCCGGATGGTGGGAAATTCTCGTGTTTATGGGCATTGATTTTGAATTGTTGCATGTGATCGATTATATCCATGAACTGAGCCTGATCTGGGTATATAAAGGAGGTTGGGCCAAAGGAGAAAAGGGGGAGACCTAGTGTGAGAAACTTCTTCTTCTTCAGATTTCTGGAGTGAGAAAATGACGAACAAAATAAGAGGAGAAGCTAGGTTTTCATCTACAAGCACAGAATTGGGAATTCCACCCCCAAAGGAGGATCTCTTAAACACAAGGAGCAAGGCTAGCCTCTCTTTGATGACTTTCCTTCTTCTCTCTTGTGTTTTCCCTTCTCCTAGCATGGAGTAGTCCCTTCTTTCACTTGGGTGTTTGTAAACCCTAGCTATAATTATGTGAAGGCTTGTATGGATTGTAACACTTCAACCTTTGGGTTCAGGTTCGACCAAAATACGTGAACGGTTGGGTTAACAATTACGTACGAAGGTTGCAACCGAGGATTATAAATAATAATAATAATAATAATAATAATAATAATAATAATAATAATAATAATAATAATAATAATAACTATATTATTGTTATTATTCATAAAAAAAATGGGCCAAGTGGAGAGCGGCCCCTCAAAAACTCCAACCCTGATCAATCCCCTTTCCTCCATCAGAAATGCAGCAGCATCAAAAGAAAGAATCACCCCACACCACTCTCACCTCGCCCACCATCAACACTCGAAGGTTAAACTCTAAGCTACCGTAGCCGCTTGTCTTTTCCTCCTTGCCATCACCGCCCCAGCAGCTCACCAATCACCCGCCTCGACGCCGATCGCAAGCCAACGCATGCTCTCTGACCTCACCAGCGCGAAGGGAGGTAGCTGGGGTAATTTCGGCAAGCGTCGAGCATTCGGTTGTCTCCGCCATGACCTTGCTTTCACTTTCAGGATCGAGGCGTACCGGTGTTGGCTTCCTAACAGAACCACCGTAGAGGATTCTATCAATGGACTGTCGGGGTAAGGCTTAGTTCTTTTTTTGGAATATTAGTTGGTGATGATGAGGGCGATAGGGTGTATTGCACTTGATGGGGTCAATTGACGTGGGATATTCGTGGGGGGGATTTACAATAACAATGTGAAGCATATTGTGTGGGTAGTGGAGAACGTAAATGTTTAGGAAGGGAACAAGTAACCAGTAGGATCGATGTTGGACCAAGAGAAAATCATGTGAGGGGAGAGCTCCAATTAGTTCGGTGGTGACTAATTAACCCTATTGATGTAGTTGCATGATTGCATGGCAAAATATCACTTATCACGTTCCACTTCAAGTTAAGGGTTGGAATAGCAGGTGTTCAATTCGGGTCGGCTTGTTATAAGGTGAGTGTAAAGAGGGTAAATTATACGCCTTACGGTCTTCAAAGACTTGCCTTTAGTATTTTCGAGTATTGATTTACGTGATGTATGTGCAGTATTTGATTAATGTTTGAGATTGCATGATTATGGTAATGATATGTGCCTTGTTTGAATTATGACTTGAAGTGAATGGTTATTATTTACATAGAAATTTTGTGAGTATAAGTTATTGTTAAAGTTTAAGAAACAAGTTCTTTTTAAGTAGTAACTCACCTTCAAGAATGTGAAGTCGTTTTAAGTGTTTTTAGTCACTAGTGCCAGTCCATTGTCATTTGAGACATTTTGAGATAGAGCAGCAGTTATGCTCTTGAGACTTTTAAGATGAGCAACAATTATGCTCTTGAGAATCGTGGTGAAGAGCCACCACGATAAGTTTAAGATGTTAGGGGGATGAATCTTTACGACTCCCCTAACTAAGTTTAAGTTTAAGGAAAGCCTGAATGGCTTCTCATACGAATGAGTTGGGCAACCGGACTAGATAGTGAGGGATCCCCGTGTCAGTCAAAAGATTTAAGTCAAGAGTTGAGCTTTAAGAAAGGAGAGTAACTTTAACTTTCGAAGAATTTTAAGAGATAAGATTGTTAAGAGTGGAAGTACAAAACGACTTCCACTAGTAGAAGTTAAGTGTTTAAAGAAGAATACTAAAGTGCTATAGATTTTAACGTAAGGGCGTAGACTGACCCCAACTCACTCACCAGATCGTAGAGGAGTAAATCCTAATCAGCCAGTCCGTGGTCAGCAAGCTAGAGGAGCTCAACACCATCGTCGCTGAGAGATGTCGAGCCAGGTGTCAGAGTAAGCATCGGAGAACTTTTTAAGTTATTTAGACTTTATGGTTAAGAGTTAAAGACTGAGGATTCATTTCTTTTGTACGATTTAAGTTTTGCCCTTGTGTTTAGGGCTTCAATTTGAGATATTAAGATATTTGAGTTTGGTATTTTATTTAAACTTGAATTATTTGAGATTTTTTTTAATTATACCCCGGGGTAGAAATTTCTTTTTTCCAAGTTCAAAGCAGTGGGATGTTTCATTTTGGTATCAGAGCCGGTCTTCCTCTGTTTCTTGGTTCCCAAGAAATACTGGAATGTCGGTCTTGGTTTTGAAAGGTTTTGTTTTAAAAGATTTCAAGTCAAAGTTTGGCCAAACAAGTCAAACATTTATTTTAAGAATTTAGAATCTCTAGTCTACTCTAGACCATATTAAGGAAGAAATAACTGAGCTCTAACGAGACCCTATGTGTCTACAGTGCAAGTGTTGGCCAGAACCCCACACCACCGGTGCCACCACCACAGAGACGTCCACCAGACTATGTAGGTTTCCGGAAGAGAGAGGTGGAAGATTTTAAGGTGGAGCGTTCAACAGACCCCATGGAAGTAGAGCAGTGGCTAGCCAAGGTCACTCGTACGCTAGTCGAGATGAGAGCTGATGACGAGGACAAAGTACTGCTGGCAGTGTCTTTGCTGCAGGACGCTGCATACAACTGGTGGACTACCCAGCCAGCTAGTCAAGAGGATCCACTAGCCATCACTTGGCCAGAGTTCGTGTAGCTATTCAAAGACCACTTCATAAGCAGAGGGAAATTCTGCTAATCGGGCAAAAATGGGGCAATGAAGGAAGGGAAAGCGTGATTGATTACACGGCCAGGTTTGACAAGCTACTTACCTATGGAGGGCCTCAATTTCAGGATGTAGCAGCTCAACGCATCCATTACCTGGAGAGCCTGAAGCCTCCTTTTCGGCGCCAGCTGAGTATACTGAATTGGAACAACAAGGAAGAGATTTATTAGGCGGCTCTTCGATTGGAGAGGGTGGATACAGCTCTACATGAGGAGGGGATGCAACGAGAAGGGAACAAGAGAAAGGCTGCTAGCCTGTCTGAGGGGCCAGGACAACCGAGTCAGCAGAGAATGAGACCATCCCAGAGCTACTATGGGGACACCTAGAGCTATTATGGTGCCACCCAAAGTCAGGCCGGCTCAACCAGATCAGGGCCGACCTACGTTCCTCGGGCCCATGCAACCAGTGTGGGAGAACTCACCCTGGGGAGTGTAAGGTGCACCTGGGAGGCATCTGCTA